GTGATAAGAACAGGGGAAGCTTTCTCACAGTCTCCATCCTCAAAAAAGGCAAAAACCAAAAACAACCTTTGTCAAGGAACTTTCAAATCTCAGGAATCAACTCTATTTGATTCATCTTATTTCAAAAATTCTGACAAATGAAGGCAGGGGCACATACAGGGCTCTCTCTCTCTCTCCCTCTCTCTCTCTCTCTGTCTCTCTCTCTCTCTCTCTCTCTTTCTCTCTCTCTCTCTCTCTCGTGTGTATGTGTGTGTGTATGCATGTATATGTGTGTGTGTGTCATGCCTGTGTGTGTATGCGTATGCATGTGTATGTATCATGCCTCTCTCTCTCTCTCTCTCTCTCTCTCTCTCTCTCTCTGGGTGTGTGTGTGTGTGTGCCTCCTTGTGTGCATGAGTGTTCTTAGTCTGCTACCATAGTACATGCAACAATTATAGGTCTCCAGGAAAGAAACAGAACTTGAAACGATTATCTGAGTACACTAATCTCACTGATTTCCAAGCAGAAACAGGAAAAACAATGATTTGCAGGCAGATAATCGGTTAGTGCCAACCCTGACCTCCAGTTTTAAATCTAAGCTCTTTTAAAGTTCTGAAGTTCAATTTGAAAGCTCCTCCCATTACTACAAGAGTAACTTTAATTTAAAAAGGACCCCAGCCTAACATACACGCACACAGACAGAGACATGCAATGTGTGTGTGTGTGTACATGTGTATGTGTGGCTGTGTTGCCAAGTGCACACATATAGACACCAGAGGAAGATATCAGGCACCCTGCTCTATACTCTCCACCCTATTCTCCTGAGACAGGGTCTCACATAATTTAGAGCTAGGATGGCAGCCAGCAAGCCCTAGTGATCCTCCTGTCTCTGCCTCCAGAATTCTGTGGCTTCCCGCAGATGCAGCTTTTCCGTGGCAGAGTATTGAATGAGTGAACCATCTCTGCAGTCTTGGTTACACCCACTTTTAAAAGAAGATTACCAAAGTGGGTTTCAGCAGGGACACACACACTTCTCATGACCCTAACCGCAGCATTGGCAGCATGCCAGCATTAGCTTCTCCAATATCCGTGCTAGGACCAGTTGTAGAACTGGATGCTGTTGAAGGCATCCACATGACTAGTTGGTCAAACACTCCAGTGGGTGCTGAAGTGTTTCATAAAAGCTTTTTATCACAAACTGGCGACGTGACTCCTGGGATAAAAGTGAATGCAGTACAAGCCTGATAGTTCTTGGAACTCATATGAAAAAAAAAAAAAAAAAAAAAAAGCAGAGGTAGTGGTTCGAATCTGTATTCAGCATTTCTATGGCGAGATGGGAAGTGGAGACAAAGGCTTTCCCAGAAGCTTGCCGACCAGATTGTCTATAACAGGAAGTGCAGGAAAAACAAGAGAGATTCTATCCCAACAAGGTGACAGGGAAGAACCAACTCTGAAAGTTGTCCTCTGATCTTCACGCATGCTCACTCATGCACATATAGTCTCTCTCTCTCTCTCTCTCTCTCTCTCTCTCTCTCTCTCTCTCTCGCTCTCTCTCTCTCTGTACCACACACACACAAATAACAATTTTTAATCTTCATATATACCTCATATAGACGTATGCATCTGTATAGCAACAAGTCTTGAAGAAAAGAAAAGGAAGACCTTACCAAAAACATTGAGAGAGAAGAAAACTAAATCCATTAGTTGGCTAAGTGAATGCTACAGGAATGCAACCCTAGTTATAACCCTTTGAAACAGTCAGTCCTATGCTGCTGAGCGGGAGAAGGAAGAAGCTTTTGGCATTGACACGCGGGGGTTAATTTGTATGATCTTCCCAGGGTTTTGACCAGAATATTCACTTCTTGTGATCCATCCTGACAAAAAGAAACAAATAAACAAAAAACATGTGCTCCATAGACATACAGGGTTAGCTACTACCTTATTAATAATGAGAGGGAAGGGGTGAGAGAGGGAGAGGAGAAGGGAGGGGAGGGGAGAGGAGAGGAGAGGAGAGGAGAGGAGAGGAGAGGAAGAGGAAGGGTGAGGAGAGGAGAGGAGAGGAGAGGGAAGGGAAAAGAGGCTAAGAAGAATACTACCGGAAAGACACAAAGCCATGCCCCAAAGGCAACGCAGCAGGGTGCGTTTTAGTGGCCGACAACCATGGCAGCCTCAGGTGCATCTGTTACAGACACCAGCTGTCACAGAAGCAGAAACATCCCATTTGTATTATGGACCCCACACTGTCCGTGCAAGGCCAGGAGTGGGAATTGAGAAGCTGGGATCTTCAGTGTTTCACAGTCCAATAGGGAGCTCTAGAAGACCTCAGCTCTGAAGAACTGTGTGAAAGCCCAAGGCACCTGGGGCCCTAGAAAGGAAAATGTCCTCTAAAGTGAAACCAAGGTTTGGTTTCATGGCTGCCAGTATAACCAGGAAAACCTGTCCTGAGTTTTTAACCCCAGAGCCAACCCAGAATCCACAACTCTGGAAAAGAAATAGTAGAAACACACAGACCACACACCACCAAACACACACACACACACACACACACACACACACACACACACACACACACACACTGCCCCAACTCAGGGCAGAGAGATCCTGCAGATGAAACTGAAACAAGCCTTACAAACAGCCGGAAGTGGAGCTGGACTCCACAGCTTCCCCTGCCAAGGATCTAAGTACATCTATTCACTATCTCTGAAAATACACGTGACGGAAAAGCCTGGATGTGTAAAACTGATTTTAAAGAACTGTTTGGGGGCTGATAACTCTGATGGCCAAGTGCTTGCTGCCCCTCCGGGTCCACATGAAAAGCCAGGCATGCGGTACATGTTTGTAGTCTCAGCCAGCAGGAGGCAGAGACAGGTGGGTCCCCATGGCTCTATGGTCAGCCAGTGTAGCTAATCCATGGGCTGCAAATCACTACAAGATGCTGTCTCAATGACAACAAACACCAAGCTGGATGGTGCCCAAGAAATGGCACCTGTTCTACACACATGTGAACATATATACCTATGTACCTGCACATACAAACATAAACACATAGACACATGAGAGAATTTGGGGGAAACTGAGATTTAGAACACTGAAAAAAAATTACTAAAGTAAGAATAATGAAGGATTTAATGGGAATCCCTTGTACATTCTTGGTATTAGTACAAATATTAACAAAACCAGTATAACAGTTCCTTAGGACGACAAAAATGGAGCTACCATTTGATCCAACAATTCCACCACTGGCTATGTGTATGAAAGAATGAAGCCTGAGGGCTAAAAGAAACATCTGCACTCCCATGTTCACTGAAGAGTTATCATAACAATTAAGATATGCCATCAATTTACATATCCACGAATGAATAAATGAATGAAGAAATTATGGTAAGTATATATAGCGAAGTTCTGAAGTAAATTCTTTTATTTGCAACAGCAGTGATGAATCTAGAAGATGTCTATTAAGGGAAATAAGCTAGGCACAGAAAGACAAATCTCCCATCAGCTTATTTACATGTGAAATATGAAAACATATAACTCATTTAAAGTATGTAAAGTAGCAGCTATGAGAGTCAAGGAGAATCAGGGAGATGCTAGTCAAAGATGCCCTGCTTTCGGTTGGAGAAAAGGAAGACATGTAAGAGCCTATCACACATCATAGCAACAACAGCCAACAACATACTGTGTATTCAACAACCGCTAAGACAGATTCTGATTTCTAACCACAGTAAGTCAGTCAATATGTGTGTCAGATGGCTTGATTTGGCCATTCCACCAATGTACACATGTATCGAACAAGTTCTCAACCATAAGTGTATAAATTCCTAACACTTAAGGCAGGTAAAAATTGCTGGGCGGTGGTGGCACACGCCTTGAATCCTAGCACTGGGGAGGCAGAGGCAGATGGATCTCTGTGGGTTCGAGACCAGCCAGGACAGCCTCCAAAGCCACAAAGAAACCCTGTCTCGAACCCCCTCCCAAAAAAGGTAAAAATTTTAAAATAGAAATGTAAGTATTTAGGGCCAAAGTGGAGACAACCATAATAAACTCAAAGAAAGCACAGGAGAAAGTAAATTTTGGCAAAACTACATATAAAATATGTGGACAGTGATATTCTTCTGTGTATACATATCAACATAAAGTATGCTTTCAAGTGAACAGCTACAAACACATAAGTGCACACTCACAAGAAAGACATAGCTAGGAGGTAGAAGGAAAACCTCTGGATGCTTCCATGCCACATGCTGTTATTGGTTTTCTTGAGAAAGTGGATCTTTTTTATTTGTTTTATTTCCCCTTCCTGGACTTTCTTCTTCATCTTCCACAGTAAACAAACAAGTTAAAAATAATAAAACATATCCACAGGATGTCATTTACTATTTTAAGAAACAAATATTCAGAGAATCAAGAAATGGCAAGTTGGGAGGACAGAGAATCAAGTGCAAAGTCTGGTGAAAGCTAAACAGATATGCAGAAAAGATGTCAGTCCAGGAGCTACCTACAATAATTGGACATTGATAGACTATTAATGTTTTCAAATGTCCTCACTTTATAGTTACAATCAAAGCATAAATATCAATAATTTGACCAGTGGCCTGAAAGAAATTGGCCACTTCTCTAACCTTCGTCTTTTAACTTTAAATCTATTACATTGAAAACAACACCCTATTTTTCTCAGACTAGAAAATCAAGAATCCATCTTTCACCAAAAGTTAATGAAAAACTGTAAGTCAGCAGTTCTTAACCTGTGGGTCAAGACCCCTTTGGGAGTGGGATGACCCTTTCACGAGAGTCTTATATCAGATACCCTGAATATCTAATATTTATATTATGACTCATAATAGTAACAAAATTACAGTTATGAAACAACAATGAAAATAATTTTATGGTTTTATAGTACCTCACCAGAACATGAGGTACTATAATAAAGGGTCACAGCATCAGGAAGGTTGAGAACCACTGCGGTAAGTGAATGAAGCTTACTGTTTAATCTCTTTCAACTGTAAATCTTAAATCTCTAAAAGTACCTGTTTCTTATGGAAATCCTTTAGGGCTGTTTCATAACCTTCCTCCAGCCGACTGAAGGCAATTCCTACATCTGTGGTCCACCATATCTGAGAGACAGTTAGCGCCACCTGCGCCGGGAAGTCCAAGATCCACAGCTCTCTAGGTTTTTCCTCATAGGCCGCGATGGCTTCAGCAATCGCCTGGCGCACTGTTTCCTTCATAGTCTGTTCAAGTTGCAGGAGCCAGCTCTCCACCTTGGATGAAAAGTGGAAATGTGACATTGCAGGCTTCAAGCAACCACCCTACGGATGGACTTCCTGTCACCAATCTAACAAACACTCAGGGAGATCTCAACCACCAACTGACTAAGGTTTTCCCTACATAAGCCTTTCCTCTCCTCAAATGACAGCTAACTTCGTAACTTCTAAGTGGACGAACAGCCTTCCTAAACAAAGGATGCTGTCTTTTAGTCTTCAGCTTGGAAGATAAAGGGGTTCTAAACAAGAACCCTCTCTACTGAGAAGTCAAATATCACAACCTCCTCCTGTTAAGGCATGAGCTGGAACCTACTGCCTTCAGAATTGTGATTTTAAGAATTGTATCTCCTGATCACGTTTTATTCTCCTGAAAATTCCCCTCTAAAAATCTTCATAGTGCTTAGCCTTAAGCCAAAGTGTTTTCAAAATATCTTAATTATATTCCTACTGGTTCCAATCTTCACATTTTCAGAAATTAGACAGCATGACGGTGTAAGAGATAGGCCAACTGCTGACTTCTGAGAATTAATGTTTTTAAAAACTTCACTTCCTGTTCATGTTACTCCCATAAATACATTCTGGCCAACTTTCCATGCTGTTCAAATGTGCATTGTTATATCAATCCACACATCTGTTTCTAGTTGGTCACACAATAGGAGGCTATGTAGATTGTGTATAATGAACGGAACCTAACAACAAAATGGCTGTAAGGAATACATTCCAAGTGCCTCAGAAGATGACCAAGGTGATTCAGGTGATCTCTTTCCCTGTCTCCCTGAGGGTGGCAGATGCATTCTGACCTTCTGGGAACTGGAATGGCACCTGACTGAGCCAACTACCTTCCTCTTGAGAAGTAAAGGCAATAAACATTGTGCTGGTCATGATCTGCCATCTACTATAAGGGGCTTTCCTGGGCTTATAGCTGGGCTTTATTAACATTTACAAGTTCGTGGTCACCAATCTAGCTGGTAGGTCCTGTATTTCTGCCTTCATCATGAATCCTCAGGCCATCAGGTAGCAAGCACCCTCAGTAAACCAGTCATTGTTGGAGCATCTCCTTTGTACTCTGGGATGCATGTCCTCAGCAAATCCACCTCTCCTCAGGAGCCCCATTAGGGAAGACTATGGGGAACCTGACATACCAGTTCATGTTCAGAAGACTATGCCAACAGTAGCAACTTAATAGTATGATTTATGACCTGACTGAATTCTGACCATTTTTGCAGGGCCCTATCCTTTTGAAAACTCTTGGCATTCTACCCAGTCTAATAAAAATGACCACATCTGGTTATTACTAATCATATATACAACCATCTCTTCAATGAGACAAGGGGCCATGGCTTCTTCATTTTTGATCCCTAAAAGCTCAACCTGATGCATAATAGGCTTTAGATCAATAAATAAGTTTAACAGACTAGATTTTAGAGGAACCAATCATAAAAATGTGAGGAAAGCATCTTTTAAAAATATATAAAACAAAGGTAATTAGAAAATGAATGCCATATATGCTGTGAAGTTTCTAGCCCAAGTTGCCTCTATAGAATAAATTAGAGCTCTATGAAATCTTCCAGTATCAAGGGTTTCTGCTAGTGACAACCACATCCATCAGCTGGATGATCCCCCACCCCCGGGCACCATGCCAGTTGATGAACAGTCTGCCGGGGAGGCAGCAGACAGCAACATACTTTTGTCAAGATAGTTTATGGTGACTTTCTCTAATCACTATAATAATATCCTAAAAAGCCCAAGAGATCAAAAATATATTTTAATCAGAGTATTCTACCATCTGCTTCTCCTTCATTTGGCAGGGTTTTCTGGTACAATATTAAAAAGTAACAGAGAGGAGTAAAGAGGACCCTGGTAAAATTAAGTTTTCAAAGGCATTTATGCAAAGAACACTTCAAGGAAGCTGTCACCCAGTCCTGAGAAGGTTTCTGGAAAAAAACAAAAACAAAAACAAACAAACAAAAAAACACTCCTAAGATTACACTGCAGATTACACAAAGCTACCCAAGCTTCATCAGAGAGTGCTAGGCCTGTTTTGGTTAGCTTTTATCAACTTGATTCAAGCTAGAGACATTCGAGAAGAGAGAACCTCAATTAATTTTCTCACCATACTGGTCTGTGGGTAAGCTTGTAGGGGCATTTTCTTGATTAATCATTGAAGTGGGAGGGTCCAGTTCACTGTGGTTTGTACCAACCCTTGGCAGGTGGTCCCAAACTACATATGATAGTATTCTGAGCAAGCCAGTAGGCAGCATTCCTCCTTAGCTACTGCTTCAGTTCCTTCCCTGACTTCCCTCAGTGTGACCTGAGAGTTGTAAGGTGAAATAAACACTTTCCTTCCCCCAAGTTTCTGTTGACCATGGTCTTTATCACAGCAATAGAAGCCCTAACCAAGACATCTTCTAAACTATCAAGACTGTACTTAGAGCTGTCATAAGACAAATTGACTCTTCCTTGTGGAGAACTGGTAAGAATCTTTTTAGGTTATCTGTCCATGAGAGTAGAGCCTATGCTTAGGTAACTGCATGGTAGGGTTAATAGCATCATCTTAATGACTAAAAAAAGCAGCTGTTTACAGAATCCACATCAGAATGACCATCCACAAAGCCTCTTCCCTCCCTGCAGTCTCTGGGGAATGGCATAAGCAGAGCACACTGGTCATGTGCTCATGATCCTGAGTCCTACTCATGCAATCTGTGACAGTCCCTTCTGTCAGCTGAACACCCAACGTTGTGGACACCCTGCTGGATGCTAAAAGTAAGTGAGCAGAAACAGGGCATGGAGAGGAGCGACTTGGCATACTGGAGATGGTGAACAGTAGCAATCTCCCAGCAGAGGATCAGCTAGAGCCCGATATTGAACAGGGACTAAATTGTCTCTCTGGTTCAGTCCAACCTCCAGGGATTGCCCGAAAATTACCTTCTTTGGATAGGAAACCTCAAAATCAAATCTTACATGGCCTATGCATTCACACCCGGCCTGGAACAGGACATACTCCTTTTCTTTGCTGAACATTCCAATTGCTTTGTGTGAGAGGACTTCTGGATTATCTTCAAACTGCAGGTCCAAGATGTTGTCAAAGAGTTTGATGAGGTGGCGTGTTACCTAAGACAAGAACATGAGAAAAATTGGATGTTTCTTGCTGCACACATACCCTGGTAATTGAGAAACAAAGCCATATGAAGTTACTAACTTTTCTTCATAAATTTCCAGAATGCTTTCAAAATCAAGGTCATTATTAAAACACCTGTACTGAAGTCAAGTTGACAGAGAGGAGGCTGGGAATTCTGATCCCACCATCATATGTAGCCTTGTAAACGCTCACTATGCAACCCAGAGCCTGAAGGTTCACTAACCTGTCTTTGTGCACCACAACTGGGGATGTTAATTTTTACTATAACTTCTATGGTCAAACTTCTAAAATTCACATTTATATTATTAGCCTAAAGTATGAAAAACTGATAAAATATCTGAAAAAACATAAATTAGACAGAATCTTAAGGTTTGGGGTCTGGTGACATAATTTTCTTTAAGGTGGGATACTCTGAGTTTCACGTATCCTTGGTACATAAAGAGGCTGAACAATGCTCCTCTATTTTAATTGGCTAGGTAAGTTTTCCAAGTCAATCTTGCCGAGACTGAATGGCAAATTTTCATTCACAGGTCCAAGACATGTTACTAGAGACCATGCTCCCATGTCCTCACTTCTCACAGCCTGTGTTCTCCAAAGGAAACTGATGCACTGAAAGTGATTTGCCTTATTTAAAATTTGACAAACTGAGGTTAAAATAAGAGACAAAGCCCAGAACTTTCTATAGAAGTCAGTCTGAAGAAAAATATCCAGCTGGTCACACCCTCCCTCTATTGAGCCCTCTAATAAAAGCCATGACAGGCCTCCCATCTAGGAACAATGTCTAGCATTGCCACACAGGGACAGAGAGGAAGGCAGATTTTCCAGAGATGGATTTAGACCCAGACACCAGCCAAGTCACTCATCCCCTTTGGAGAATACTAAGTAATGGCCAGAAATGGGCCCAGAGGAAAGAGCCAGTACTGGGAACTCATAATTCTCCCTGATACATGGTACCATTGAGTGGGAGAAAATTTCACATTTCCTCAGTAAGTGAAATAGAATCACCAAGAAACCACCCATACATCCTGCAAACAGCCATTCAGACAGTTGTAAGCCAGTGTTCCCCCCATTTTTACAGCAACCAAAAGGTAGAAACAACCAAATATCCACTCAAATAGATGAATAAACAAACTGTGCAAGTATGAACCATGGAATACAGTTCAGCCATATGAGGGAATAGTGTGTGTGTGTATACATGGCAACAAAGACTGTGTATGCTATCATGTGCCCTTTTCCTACAATTAAGGAAACAGAGACTGAAAAGATTGAGTTCCAGTACAGCCGGGGAAACACAGTGAGACTCCATCCCAAAAAACAAAAGGCTAGGATGTAGCCCAGTGGTAAAACCCTTGTCTAGACACATGATCCTGGATTCGATCTCTAACTCTAGAAAAAGCACAACATAATGTGAATGATCCTTGAAAACAACGAGCTCAATGACAATAACAGCCAGTCATCCAATCCCATCAACTGTATGATTGCTCACACAAAATACCAAGATACAGACGGCCGACCAGGGGTTCATAGGGAGAGAAACATAGACAAACAAGGTAATAGATACAGAGGTTTATTTGGAGGTGGCAAAAATGCCTCAGAAATAGAAGGCGGTGTGGTAGTTAAATAACACTAGAAATGTGCAAATAACACTGAATTGTACTCTTTAAGATAGCCAATCTTCTTAGACTGAATTTTACCTCAACAGAACACCAAGGCTGTTGCCAACAGAAGGTAGCTTGAAGCTGGCAACATTTCCCAGACCACAGGCTTCACCTGCACCTGTATCTCAGCTTGGCTTGGTCTGTAACAGCAGCTTCTAGAAACCACAGCTGCCTAGGCTATCTGCATGACAAGCCCATCAGTATCAGGAAGAGTTTCCTTTGGTGCGATTTAATCTTTTAAAGTCTTCAGCCTTCACACATTGCTGCATTCACAGTTTTAGCATTGAGGAAAACAGCATCAGGATGTCTTCAAGTTTAAAACAGATGGGTTTCTGAGACCCGTGTTTGCTTTAGACATAGGGAGAGTGGTGGGCAGCGATCACTACCTGGGTTGTTATACTCTCCTCCATCCTGCACATTACCCAAAGGACATTTATACACAGAACGTCTCTGCAATAATCTAACCATTCACTCTCCCCACTGAAGTGGCCAGGAAGCGCACAGATGTCAAATGGCTTCTACCGGGTAATGGGCCTAGATAATATTCAGTTGAAAAGCTTCACGATAAATGAGACCTCAGCCATCAGACGCCCTCACACATTATTGCTTTGCTCAGTAAATAATTTCACAACATCTTCTGGCCTTGTAGACACCCTGGCAGTGGCCAGAAAAATGTAAATCTCCCAACATACAGTCCTCCATGACTTGTATCTGGCATGGTTGGAATCAGGTGTTTCTTATTGAAATTTTCTAAGACGGTTTTTTTTTTTTTTTTTTTTTTAAAGAATGTTTTTCAATGAGGTATCTTTTGTGCTTTAAGTGAAATTAGATTTTCTTCTTCCTGGGAAAGTGTTTCATTTTACAACTAAAAAAATAAAATAATGCTTTCAGGCTATTATTAGAGGACCTAAAACTTCATCTTGCTCTAAATTGGTTTCTAAAAGGTTATCAACAAAAACTGAATAATATCTCCCCTTGTATATAATGATGCTTGAGCACTGTGCCTACCAATGCACACAAGAAGTCCCAGCTTGGCAATGTGGTGTGTGCTCATAAAAAAAAATTTTTTTTCATGTGTCCTGAAAGTGCATCAACCATCTCTTAATAAGTGACAGGAAACATTATGACAGTGCAAAGACCTTTAAAATGTTTCTTGGCAAAACATTAAAATTTCACTGTGGGTTGCAAACATAGGATAAGGGCATGGAGAAGGCAGCAAACTCAATTTGGTACCGTGTAGTTCAAAACAAGTGGGTTGTTTTGTGGAAAACTTTGGGGTCATTTAGTGCTTGCCTCTTCTGGTTTGTACCATGGAGCAAGCAGCTCCTTTGCATCTTCGCAAAGAACACCTTTTGAGTTTGGGTCAACCGCCACCATGTTGTTCTTTGAGCTATCAGTGTTAGGAACCTTGTTCATCTGGCTTGTTTTGTGTTATTTCTTGCTTTCCTTTGTTTCACTTGGGATTTTATTTCCTGGATGGAGTCACTTAACTCTGGGCCAAGTCACCCTTTTTTGTTCCAACCACTGCTATTGCTCATGTCAGGAAGTTTTGTTCTTCATAAGCTGCATGCCTGCCTGTGTGTGCAGGTTCTCTGAGGATAAGGAGTCATCCCTAATTCCATCTATGTTTGACTCAATGTCCACTTCTGGCATTATCCCCAGATACTACAAGTCTCTAAGCATTCAAATTTCCACTACTCTCTCTCTCTCTCTCTCTCTCTCTCTCTCTCTCTCTCTCTCTCTCTCTCTCTCTCTCTCTCTCTCCCTCCCTGTGTGTGTGTGTGTGCGTCTTTTATTGTTGTACATTACCATGTGGAATAAATTCCTGGGAACATTGAGGTCACACAGCAATATCTTAGCAGCAGATGCACAGTGGCTTGTTGTTGACAGCATTTGAAAGATATGGCATGACTGTTGCTGGTAAAACTGCACATCTGTGATTTCTGTGAGCCAAAGAGCTTAAGTCAAGGCTTACTCCATCATCCACCCCCCTAGTCCAACACAGCATCTCAAATATGAATCGGACCGTCAGGGACCTGGGTTGATACTAGTCCTTGGTAACTGATATCAGTACTGGTGGAACCATACACAGAGAGAATCTGTGGTGATACATTGTTTTTGATTTATTAAAGCTACTGGAGATCAAAATAGCAAAGCAGCCATACTAGTTAGCCATAGGAGCCAGACAGTTGTGGCACATACCTTTAATCCCAGGACTTAGGAAACAAAGGTAGAAGTATCTCTCTGAGTTCCAGGCCACCCAGGGCTACATGAGTTTGAATAACTCTAAAAGAGTAACAGAGCTCATGCCTTTAATCCCAGGACTCAAGAGAGGTATTTAAGACAGGAACAGGGTCTCAGAGCTGGCATTCATTCCCCAGCCACATTGAGGATAGGAAGGCATTAATTCTCCAGCTACACTGAGGAGAGGCAGCAGTTTGAGACTTGGTGAAGAGCTCATGGAGACAGGAGCAGCCCTTTCAGCCTGAGCTAGAGGTGAGAGCTGGTGGCCAGCTGCTTTGCTTCTCTGATCTTCAGCTAGAAACTTGAACCCCAATAACTGGGTTTTTTATCTTAAGTGTTACACATCCTGTGAGCTTTGTGAACCCAAATCATGTCAAAGATTGAGGACATGCCTATGCAAATTAAAAAGAGGCAGTACATACTCTCCCACACAAGAACTGATGGCATTCTCACCAGTCTTCCCATCATTCGCAAGACAGAATAAGGCATAGCTGACAGCAAGGTCAGGAAAGAAAGTCAAACAGAGAAAAGAGAGGAAAAAAGGAAAGAAAGAATACAGAAAGAGGATGGGAGGGAGGAAGAAGAAAGGAAGCCTAGCCTCACAGATGCAACCTTTCATTCCAAAGCAGTAACTTAAAAAAAACCTTGATGGACATGAATGTTCATTTATAAATAAATATGTATGAATATACAACCGACACACATCAATGAGCTTTGAAAGTATCACAAACTACTCCCAAGATCTAGTGGGTTAACATTGCAACAATTCCATAGCCTACAGTGATTGTGTGTTAGAATCTTCAGTTGCTTTATCTAGTCCCAGATCTTACACATTTGTGGTCTGCTGGTAATTCATGGCTTCCCTGATGGATTTCCAGGTGGTGGCTTGGGCCTGTGTTCATCATCCAGCAAATTGGTGCCGATTCACTGGGTGGGGAGGTCAAAGGTTTCCAAAGAGCAGCAAAATAGGAAATCTTGGTGCAAAAGAGTTCGAGAGCCTCTTGCAATGACTCGCTGACAAGATAAGCATGGGGCAGTGTAACGAGAGACACAAGCTTGATGAAAGAAGA